TGATGACGATTGTTTAGTATATGTTGGGCGTAAGCAGATTCATCTATATTTAATCTTATGTTCCTTATGTGTTTGCTATATCGTGTTGATAATTTCCTTCCTGTTTGGCCATGTATACATGATGGCAACTTTGGCAAGTTAATTTGTAAATACCACTTTGCTCATATGGGTTTGTGTTGGGTTTTTCTTGTAGTGCTCTGCCTATTGTGTGGGTTGTTTTAAATGCTATCTTAATATTAGTGTTTTTAAATAGTTTTGTAATTTTCCGTATGTAGTTTCCTGTGTATGTGTAGGTTACCCATTTTTGGTCATTTTTACCTGTGTCTTTAGGGTTACTTGTTTTTTGTTTTAGTTTGTTATATATTTGTGTGATATCATAGTGGTGCGCCTCTGAAGATGATTCTTTTGAATCGAAACATGTAAGGTGAATGAGGACTGAAGTGTTGTAAACTCGTATGTCACACTGGACTGAACTTTTCATTATCTACTCTGCAATTAATAGTGTGACGGACCAAAATGAGAAGTTAAATTATAAAAGCTTTATTGGTTTATCCAACAGTATTATGACAGCAACATAATTATGTAATTATTAGTCCATAATTTTCACTGGTCTCACTATACAGAATAAAGTATTTAAAAGAAAGCAGATCTTAACTAGTCTCGTCTTCTGTCACATGTAATATTCACTCAAGAAGTTCATTATGTGACCAAAACATCATGCAAATTACTATTACCTGTTGGATTTTAGAAATATCTTCTTCAATGATGCTATTCACAACAAATGGCAGTGAAAGGAGACATGCCACATATTCCACAACCCGACAACTGGCCCCAGGGTTACGGAGTGGTGATACTACTACACCAACAAAATTACACTGCTGTAGTGCATCAACATCCCCATCCATTACTTCCTCCATGGTGTGCTGTAAGAATGCCAGCCACTCATCACTTTCAATGGGATGTATACTTACAGTTGAGTTCCAACTGTGGAGAGTGAATATACCATGACTCTTGCACAGGCCAGCTGCACAATTCTGCTTGCTCAGTACGTGTCTTGACTTGAGCTTAGCTACGTTATATTCCTGGCTCGAACCAGCACATCTCTTCTTTTCTGAATCTGAATTTACATGGTTTAAAATGGTCTTGGATAAAATTCCATTATGACACACGTTTTTCTCACCACTTACAACAAGATCCATCACATCAAATTGTTTAACTATTCCATCAACATGTCCTGCAAATGAAACACCAGCACAACTAACTCCATTGGATAGTGACACACTTCTTTCACACTGTGTGCCACCCAATGACAAATTAATTCTCCCCATCACTGAAGCAGCAGAATCCAATTTCTTGTTACTATAAACATTTGCATGACACACTTCTGATATACTCTGTAAGGTTTTCTGATTATCCATGGCTACAACAAGATTGGAGTCCATGCTTGATTTATTCAATTTATTTTTTTCACCACTGCAGGCAGTACTGGACTTACAATAAATCACATTACAACTCCTTGTTGTCGAAGTCTTGCATGGAGACAATTTATTTCCACCCAAAAGTAGGGAGTCTTTTGTTGCTTCAATATACTTAACTTCACCAGTATTTGAAACACATCTATTCGTTTGTTGCAACAGATTCAATTTTTTTTCACGCTCCTCCATTTTTTGTACTGCTTGATTAAAAATTCTGTAAATCATAAACAGAAGTTAACAAGTGGTGTCATACATCCAAGCATGACTTTTTTGAAAACTGACTAGAGAAAATAAAGATAAATATTTGTATATACCCTACTGGTTCAGATTTTATGAGAGTAAGTAAGCATGATTTCAGGCCATATCATTTCTCTCAAAAGATTTTTCCTTTTTGTAGTTCTACTGTGGATAGACTTTAGCAAATCTCTTTTACAAAATTTTTTTCTATAATAATTATTCAAATATCTATTTAAAGTTATTAACTCATCAGGGCTTCATTACAAACTAATTACATTTCTCTAAAATGCCTTGAAATCAGCATACTTTACAAATAATATAGAATGAAAATATAATATTTAAGCATAATATAAAATCACAGTAATTTGAGTGAATAAGGAATTTTTACAGCCCTATAATACTAAATGCTTCAGTGTATTTGATACAGCATAAGCTTCCACTGAATAACAGTGTTCAAACACATATTACACCAGACTTACTAAACAACAGAAACTCTTGGGGTTAAAACAGAGGTAAGAACAAACTGCAATAAAGAAAGTCCTCTTACTTGGATTTACTTGCTGTCCGATTAACCAAATCCTGTTCTTGAATTTCTTTTGCCATAGCCTGAGAAGCAGTCAGAGGGCTGGTCAGTGGAGTCAGTGCACCTAAAAATCAAATACTCTCTTACAAAAATATCTAGCAGAGCCTATTTCCTTTTGTCTTGGGGGGGGGTCATGTGCGAATATGTGTGTGTGGTAGTCATGTTGTTATTAGTAACTGCAGGAAATAGAATGTATGATGCTGGGATGGTCTCCAATGCTATAACATACTACACTTTGTGAAATTAGTCAACTGGTTCAAAGGTTAAAAGGTGGACACACACACCCACACACTGACAGACAGCACATTGACCTTAAGCACAGATGCTGGAAGGGGAGGGAAAACTTAGACATTAAAAGCAAATCAAAAGTGAAGAAGATAACATGCTTAATATAAACTAAAGGTACTTGTTTTTGCAAAATTTAGTAAAAATAGTCATGGCTAAATGTAAATTTGCAAGAGAATTTTATGGCTCCCCCAGAAAGGAAATTCTGGTGGCACCCATACTCATAAGCAAATTTATTTCTCACAAGAAAGAAAAGTGGACTAAAATGAAATACATTATTATTACAGCACAATTAAAGCAGTCATCCAAAAATGTCAACTACGAACTGCTTTTACTGCCATCTAACTGAAGGAAGGTAATACGAGGGTTGGAACTTTAATAGTGGCAACTATTTATTTACATCTGATACAAAATAGATGCATGTTTCGAAGTTTTACTGCCCTTCAGTGCAGTCACCAGCATTGTGTACAACCCATTGCCAGTGATTTGGAAGTCGTAGGATACATTTAGCAGTGCCTGTTGTGTTGATAGTTCAAATGGAGCAGTCTACTGCCTGAAGAATATCTGGAACAGTTCTGAAGCAAATGCCACGAAGTGGTTCCTTCATCTTAGGAATCAAGTCAAAGTCACAAGGGCTTAAGTCCGGGGAGTATGGTGGATGGTACAGCACTTCCCAGCCCCATCGATCGAACAAATCTGCCACAGCTTGCGCTGCATGTGACCGAATATTGTCCTGCAAAATGATAGGTGGATTCTGCAGAAAGTGTCACCACTTCTTTCTCAAAGCTGGTTGCAGGCTGTGTTCCAAAAATGAACAGTAATACTGTGCATTGACGGTTTGCTGTCAGGGAACGGTATGCGTTAGGATAACATCATCACAGTTTTACATGAGAATCACCATAACTTTGACACTGCTGGAGTTCTGATGAACTTTTGATTTTCGTGGTGACCTGTAATGATGCCATTCGTTCGATTGGCGTTGCATTTGTGCCTCATATGATTTGTCCCATGTCTCATCCAGATTAATGATACAGCATAAGAAAGCCTCTCCTTTGCGCTCATAGCGCTCCAAGTGGTTACGAGCAGCGTCGTATCATAGCTATTTCTGCATTTCCGTCAAATAATGCGGAACCAATCGTGATGCAATTTTTCTCAGGCCCAGGCGTTCCTTCAGAATGTGAAGCACAGTCGTATGCGCTAATCCTGTCTCTTGGACCAGCTCATGAATTATATGGTGTCGATCACTCTCCAGTTACGTGGAAAGAGCACACACTTCTTCTACACTGACACTAGGACAACCTGGCCACACATGTCTGCCACATTTTGGAGTCCCTCATTGAAGGCTTTTACCCATCTTGCCACTGTTCTGTAAGGCAATGCAGATTACCTGCAAGCCTCCCGAAGACCTTGATAACACTGTCGTGCTGTACGGCCTCTGGCACATTCAATCTTCATCCAACTCCGTTGTTCCTGTTTCGAAAACATCGTGACAACACTACATTAGACCACCAGCAAACACAATGCTCTCTTCTTCTCATCACTGTGCATGCGCATGATGTGGGAAGGGAGAGTCCATTTGCTCTGAGGTAAGGTAGGTATGTAACTAATGTGTAGTATAAGCGACATTACTTGGTTCCATTGCATGGCATCTCTACAGCAGTGTTGCCACTATTAAAGTTCCAACCCTCGTACAATACAGTACAGTGTGTGTACATAACACTGCTGGAAGTAGAAGCCTATAAAGCATACAATGTTCTCTGAAGTCAGATAAGACACAGTATATATGTTGAAATTTTAAAATTACCTTCTTCTTTAAGAATTAAGACACCATTTTTCACAAATGGATGATCCAGCAACTGTGGCCATGTCAATCGCTGCTTTGGGTCCTTCTGTAGTAAACCCTATTTCAAAACAATAAAACGGTAAACTATTGCTTAAGACAAAACTCTTCATACACATAGACAAACCAACAATTATGAGCATAAAAAACCTGACTTACCTGAATAAAACTCTGACACGTAGGTGAAATGAAATCTGGCCACTTAACTGCTTCATGACGGATCAATCGTACCAAGTGCAGAATGGATGAAGTACAGAATGGTGGAGAGCCCACAAGCAGTTCATAAATAATGCAGCCCAGAGACCTGCAAATTTTTGTACTAATATCACGATCTCAAGTTCTTGGTTACCAATACTTAGATTAATCATGCTACAAATGTTTTTCTAACAAAAACAGTCCAAATAATAAATACCAGCAAGACACAGAAGAAATAGATATCTGCATTACAGAAACTGTTTGCTCCAGGCTCTTGATTCTAATGAAACTTCATTACTACTTCAGCTGTCCATCGGGAGTGTAATGAGACATAATCAATACAGCTTCTTTAAACAGTCTCTGTGACACCTTCTGCCTTAAGCCAAATGAAAACTCTGAAGCTGATAAACATATGAGTATCATAATTTCAAGTGCCACTACAAGAACTATATTTAAAGCAGAATGTCTACTATTCAAGGGACTGCAACGGAGGACGAGGTTACAGAAATCCAGGTGACTGAAGTAGAGGGTGAAACTGCAGAAAACCAGGTGAAGGAAGATAAGGCAACTCCAGTCGATCCATCCCTCAACAGAGTGGTGTCATCCAGTGGAGACCAGCAGCAGGAAATCCGAATGTCAACCAGGAAAAGGAAGCTCCCAGTAAAGCTAAGTAAAGATTTTTTATAGATAAGCATAATAATAAGAATAGTACTGGTACTCTCAAGAATACTAACAAAATGAGTGCAAACATCCAAATAATACATCAAAATGTTCAAAGTCTAAGTAACAAGAAACTAAATA